AAATTTCATATTTAGGTTCTATACCGTTGACGTAGAGGCAACCACATTACTCCTTCTCCCACTTCATTTTTAGCTCACCTGGCCCACAGGGCCAAGTGAGCTTTTTTCATCACTTGGCATCCGTCGTCCGTTAACTTTTACAAAAATCTTCTCCTCTGAAACTTCTTGGCCAAATTTAACCAAACTTGGCCACAATCATCATTGGGGTATCTAGTTTAAAAAATGTGTCCGGTGACCCGGCCAACCAACCAAGATGGCCACCATGGCTAAAAATAGAACATAGGGGTAAAATGTAGATTTTGGCTTATATCTCTGAAATCAAAGCATTTAGAGCAAATCTGACATGGGGGTAAAATTGTTTATCAGGTCAAGATCTATCTGCCCTGAAATTTTCAGATGAATCAGACAACCCATTGTTGGGTTGCTGCCCCTGAATTGGTAATTTTAAGGAAATTTTGCCGTTTTTGGTCTTTATCTTGAATATTATTATAGATAGAGATAAACTGTAAACAGCAATAATGTTCAGCAAAGTAAGATCTACAAATAAGTCAACTTGACCAAAATGGTCAGTTGACCCCTTAAGGAGTCATTGCCCTTTATAATCAATTTTTAACCATTTTTCGTAAATTTTTGTAATCTTTTACAAAAATCTTCTCCTCTGAAACTACTAAGACAGATTTTACCAAACTTGTCCACAATCATCATTAGGGTATCTAGTTTAAAAAATGTGTCCGATGATCCCACCTGCGAACCAAGATGGCCAACATGGCTAAAAAATAGTACATAGGGTAAAATGCAGTTTTTGGCTCATATCTCTGAAACCAAAGCATTTAGAGCAAATCTGACGAGGATAAAATTGTTTATTAGGTCAAGATCTAACTGCCCTGAAATTTTCAGACCAATCAGGCAACACGTTGTTGGGTTGCTGTCCCTGAATTGGTAATTTTAAGAAAATTTTGCAGCTTTTGGTTATTATCTTGAATATTATTATAGATAGAGATAAACTGTAAACGGCAATAATGTACAGCAAAGTAAGATCTACAAATAAGTCAACATGACTAAAATTGTCAATTGACCCCTTAAGGAGTTATTGGCCCTTTATAGTCAATTTTTTACAATTTTCATAAATTTTGTAAATTTTGGTAAATTTTTACAAAATATTTTCCACTGTAACTACTGGGCCAAGTTCATTATAGATAGAGATAATTGTAAGCAGCAAGAATGTTCAGTAAAGTAAGATCTACAAACACATCACCATCACCAAAACACAATTTTGTCATGAATCCATCTGTGTCCTTTGTTTAATATGCACATAGACCAAGGTGAGCGACACAGGCTCTTTAGAGCCTCTAGTTATCTATTTTTCTCATTTTTCTATTCTTACCTATAGCATTGAAGGAGTATGAAGGGTATTAATTGGCTTTCAGATTTTTATTTTTATTTTTTTTTATTTGACCAGAATAATACAAATTTCATATAGAAAGAGTTTTAATATAACATTTTATACAAAATGAATATTTTTAGGCACATCACATTATAAAATTTCGAAGATTAATAATGACCCCTTCATTATGTATTATTTGTGTTGCTACATCAGTTTTTTATATGACCGCAAAAAAATTTTGCGGTCGTATATTGGTATGGCGTTGACGTCGTCGTCCGAAGACACATTGGTTTTCACACTCTAACTTTAGTTTAAGTAAATGGATCTCTATGAAATAGGTTGGGTTGGGATTGATTTTGGGGGTTATGGTACCAACAGTTAAGGAATTAGGGGCCAAAAATAAGTATTTTTGTAACTTCCAGACATAACTTGTGTGTTAGTATATGGATCTCTCTGACATTGTACCACAAGGTTCCATATCATAAAGGGAATGCTGTGATTGATTTTGGGGGTAATTGCCTCCAAATTTTAGGAATTAGGGGCCAAAAAAGGGGCAAAAAACAAGCATTTTTCTAGTTTCATGACAATAACTTGTGTGTAAGTGTATGGATCTTTCTGAAATTGTACTACAAGGTTCCATATCACAAAGGGAAAGCTGGAATATAGTTTGGGTGTAATTGCCCAAAACGATTAGGAAAAAGGGGCCAAAAATAAGCATTTTTCTAGTTTCCAGACAATAACTTGTGTTCAAGTGTATGGATCTCTCTGAAATTGTACTGCAAGGTACCATACCACAAAGGGAAGGCTGGGATTGATTTTGGGGGTAATTGCCTCAAGATTTTAGGAATTAGGGCCAAAAAATGGGAAAAAAACAAACATTTTTCTAGTTTCATGACAATAACTTGTGTGTAAGTGTATGGATCTTTCTGAAATTGTACTACAAGGTTCCATATCACAAAGGGAAAGCTGGAATTTAGTTTGGGTGTAATTGCCCAAAACGTTTAGGAATAAGGGGCCAAAAATATGCATTTTTCTAGTTTCCAGACAATAACTTGTGTTCAAGTGTATGGATCTCTCTGAAATTGTACTGCAAGGTACCATACCACAAAGGGAAGGCTGGGATTGATTTTGGGGGTAATTGCCTCAAGATTTTAGGAATTAGGGGCACAAAAGGGGAAAAAAAACAAGCATTTTTCTAGTTTCAGGACAATGACTTGTGTGTAAGTGTATGGATCTTTCTGAAATTGTACTACAAGGTTCCATATCACAAAGGGAAAGCTGGGTTTAAGATTAAGGGTAATTGCCTTAAACGTTTAGGAATTTGTGGCCAAAAAGGGGCCAAAAAACAAGCATTTTTATACACCCGTCAAATTTTTGACGGGACGTATTATGGTATACAAATGTCCGGCGTCCGTCCGTCTGTCCGTCTGTCTGTCCGGCGTAAACATGTCGCCCCGTAACTTGAGAATGACTTATCCAAATTTCATGAAACTTAATATAGTTGTTTCTTATGATGGTCAAACGATCTGTATACTTTTTGGTGAAAATTAGATTAAAACTTTTTGAGTTACGGGACTTAGTAACTAAAACAGGTGTGTGTTTTTTTTCACATGTCGCGCCGTATCTCAAAAACAATTTATGATTATTGCTTTCAACTTTACACACTTCTTAGTTATATTAATCTTAAGATCTGTATACTTTTTGGTGATGATTCAAAATTTTATTTTAGAGATATTGAGTATTTTGTTAAAAAAGGGGGAGGGGTTTTTCACATGTCGCGCCGTATCTCAAAAACAGTTTATGATTATTGCTTAAAACTTTACACACTTCTTAGTTATATTGACCTTAAGATCTGTATACTTTTTGGTGATGATTCAAAATTTTATTTTTGAGTTATTGAGTATTTTGTAAAAAAAGGGGGAGGGGTTTTTCACATGTTGCACCGTATCTCAAAAACGATTTATGATTATTGCTTAAAATTTTACACACTTCTTAGTTATATTAATCTAAAGATCTGTATACTTTTTGGTTTTGATTCAAAATTTTATTTTTGAGATATTGATTAATTTTTTTTTTAAAGGGGGGGATTTCACATGTTGCGCCGTATCTCAAAAACGATTTATGATTATTGCTTAAAATTTTACACACTTCTTAGTTATATTAATCTAAAGATCTGTATACTTTTTGGTTTTGATTCAAAATTTTATTTTAGAGATATTGAGTTTTTTGTTAAAAAAAAAAAGGGGGTTTTCGCATGTCACGCCGTATGTCAGAAACTATTTATGCTTATTGCATAAAAATTCACACACAAGACGACGGGCGTATCATGCGCCCATGGCGCAGCTGTTTATTCTAGTTTCCAGACAATAACTTGTGTTCAAGTGTATGGATCTCTCTGAAATTGTACTGCAAGGTACCATACCACAAAGGGAAGGCTGGGATTGAGTTTGGGGGTGATGAATCATAAGGGGGTTCAAAAAATTTGGGGGGGGGGGGTATTTTTTTTCCTTTTTTTTCTTTAAAATTTTCCATTTTAAATTGGTTGTTTCTGATATTTTAAATTGGTTATTTCTGATTAATATATAAAAGCAAATAATAATGATATGGTTTGAATAGGTAAATTAAAAAAATTTAAGTTCTTAGACCACATTCATTCTGTGTCAGAAACCTATGCTGTGTCAAATATTTAGTCACAATCCAAATTCAGTGCTGTATCAGGCTTGAATGTTGTGTCCATACTTGCCCCAACTGTTTTGGGTTCGACCTCTGCGGTCGTATCAAGCTGCGCCCAGCGAAGCATTTTATGTCTATTTATAAAAGCTTTTGGAAGAGAAAACTTTGGCGGCAACCCCTGATCCCGAAGAGTGTTGTGCTAAAGGTTTCAATATTAACCTTGTATAAGTCATTGTAATCTTTCAGGGTTATACAGTTATAGAATTATGTGCCCTGTATCTGATTATAATCGTTGTAATGGCCAACCAAAGGATAACTATATTGTTATTTTATACATTTAAACATTTTTACATCATTTAAAAGAGAGATACCAAAGGGACATTCAAACTCATAAAGTGAAAATAAACAGACAATGCTATTGCAAAAGAAAGAAAAAGACCAAAAGACAAACAACAGTAAACAAAACATAACATAGAAAACTTAAGACTAAGCAACATGAACCCCACAAAAAACGAGGGGTATTAATCCTTTTGTAATTGCTATACACATACTTTTGTCCAATCTTTCACATTTGAAATGCTCAACTTAGATGATATGTCAAGAATATAGCAGTTTGAATGACTGAAACTTATGAAGAGTCATTTCTGTTCTGAAAGTTGATAAATGAGTGAATAGTTAAAAACTGTTGCATTTAACCTTTAAGCCTATGCATGCTCTATTATATCCTAAAGAGTGTTAGAAAAAATACAAATTAACTGGTTGGATTTATCAATATTTGACACAAGGGAATATGTATTTGACATTAAACGAAGGAAAGTGTTATTATACTTCTTGTACAGAACGTCATTGATATTCAGTCATATACGACATTGATTCTTGGCACAGAAAATAGGAAGTGAAAGTCTTGGCAGAGTCTTTACAGTGAGATATTTTTGTATTTTAGGTGTCACTGACTGTGTACATTATACAGTGATAATGTGGCAGGTCTAAAAGATTTGTATAATTCCTGTTTTCTGAGGTCACTCCAGTTCAGAAAATTATGTTTAAGGATTCAAATGAGTCAACAAGAATTGCAGGTATAGAAACAATTATTTTGAAATTTGTCTTGCCTTACATTTTTAGGCTATTACACAAAATAGACTTTAACTTATTGTATAAAACCTAATATTTCAGAAGGTAGGGGAGTTGTAATTTAGGACAATCAATATATGCATATAAGTGTTTGTGGTAAAGATGTCTTTAACTTCATTTCCATGCTTCAATTGCCTTCTTGTGTCAATATTGAGTTTCAGTAGGTCAGTTTCTTAGTATAATGAGTAATAGTTCAGCTTATTTTTGTCAATGTAATCATTGTAAGGTATAATGAATAAGAATCACTTGACCTTGACCTCTTTTCAATGACCAATTACTAGTTTTCAGGCTTATGCATGCAAAAAGTTTCCTTGGTAATGTGAGAAAAAGATTAACTGTATTTGGTATATAGAAATTTTGTAAAGTGTAAATGCCTGTCTGACAGATGTCACCTGACCTCTACCTTTTTTCATGAACAACATTGATTTCCATAATTAGCCATTTTCTCAGTTACAAGAATAATAAGGCAAATATATTTGTTGGATAAACCAGTTATAAGGTGTATAAATCTGTCCGACAGGAGTTGGCTGATATTGACATCATTTTAATTGCCTAATGATAAAATTAAAAGTTTTCGTTCATGTCAGTGTCTCGGTTACTATATATCAACTATATTTTGTCTGTAGCATTGTTTTCATGTGTATATTCCATCAGCCAATAATTTTCATTTAATATTTGCCCTTCAAAAATACATGATTCAATGAGTTTCATGCCTTGGACAGTTTCAAGGCTACTTTTCTGCCTGAAAGGGGGGTCTTTTTTCTTTTAACTCATCTTCGTGGTTCAGTGATAATTTATAAGGTGAATGTGATCAAATATAGGTGTATGGTTATGTGATTACTTGTCTTACATGTTTTTCTTATGGCCGTCACTTTGTTTGACCTCATTTTCATGGTTCATTGATCAACAGTAAGTTTTCATGTTTATGTCAGATTCTCAGTTACTATTAGTAATAGATCAGCTGCATTTGGTATATACAATTGTTGTATAGTGAACATATTTTTTGACACAAACTTTATTTTCATGGTTCAATCAGTTCAATGTTAAGTTTTTTTTTGATAAATGTTGTTAGAGCTCAACTCAAAAAACAGTAAAACATTGTTTTATGATGATCAAATTAAGAATATGAGACATTTCAAGGTTTATATATAATCACTTCCTGATTTCCTGGGGAAAAAAATTGATTTCTTTTTTTATTATTTCAATTTTACATTCCTCATGGGGTAAAGAGTTCATTTCCCTTTGAATGTAAAAATATTGAAAGAATTTAGGTTGTATGCAAACCTTTTTTTCACAATAGTCTCTGTCAAGATGAACCAAAAATATTAATTGAACTTTTGGACTTCAAATGCAAAATGTATGTCTTAGTGTTTTAGAATGCATAATTAAAAGTAAATTTCAACATAATACCCACTTAATAAAGTCTGAATAAGAAATTAAATTACATGTGAATGCAGTGTGTTCAATATTATGCAATATTATTCCAAGCTTCATTTAGCTAGATTCAATGTTCAAAGAAGTCTCTTTAAGATTTACTCATTTTTGCTATTGAATTACAGCAAGCCCATTTCTTTCATTGTTTTGAAGAAGATCTTCCATCTATCATCCTCATAATCAGAGTTCAATAAGTAAAGCATTTAGATATATCAGAGATAGTAAAAACCAGCTAAAGGAATATAAATATAAACTATGATCAGAAAAACAGTAGTAACTAATGAGTTTAACAGAGTTATATTTATATCTGTATGGCATACTGAATATATAGAGTGATGAATTAATTTGTACTTATGGTGGGTGTTTCATAAAGGTGTTTACCTCTTTGAATGTTTAGTAACTCTTGTGGTTTCTCTTGTAATGAGCCATGATTCGCCAGGTGAGACATTGGTATTACTTTTCAAAGGCAGCATCAAAAATTTGCATTACTTCCTCAGTATCTTATTGCCACCTTTACATAGAACAACAAAATATGTATTTAGGAAGTTCATGATGAGAACTTTTCAGCCAGTTAATATGACATGACCTAGACCTCAAACATATAAACTTTTACTTACATTTTGTATACACTAGTATAGGCCTGATAAAGCAAACATAGGTAAAGACAGTAAAATTTATTCTGACTTGTACTGCTCACTTTATGCAGTTTTCATCTTTCCTTGAAAATAACAGTTTCTGTACTGATTTTAATGAACTGATGTTTAGTCATTCTATAAATGTGTAAAGAATAGCACAGACAATATAGGAGTTTTAATGTGGTTTTTCTTCTTTTAAGTAGACATTGAACAATAGTATGCTGATATTTAGTCTATAATTGTGGAATGAGTAACCCTAGTAATTACAGATCTTATATCAGGTTTTTGTTTTGTTTGAAATGTGAAGTGTACTTTTCTATAAATTACTGCCTTGACCACTGACAGTTTCATTAAAACTAGTTGACTGTGTCAGCCTTCTTTTCCGATATTTAGACGATTTTTGGTAAGATTGTGTAATTAGAAGAGCTTAACAATGTCATGAGTTTTACTCTTGATTGAATACAGGAAATGTTGGGTATAATTCAACCAGATGGCTTTTAACTCTGTTTAATTTTTTAGGACTAAATTATAGAGTAGGCAGGAAATGGGTAAACCTGCTCAATTTTAGCTGGATTAGTTATATAGTTGAGGGAGAGGAGGGTTGAATATTAGGTAGCTCAAATTTGAGCAAATAACATAAAATTATAAAGTTGTATGTAGCATGTTTTTTTTTTTTTTTTTTTTTTCTTTCTTTCTTTCTGTAATTTTAAAATAGGATTAACAACCCTAAGAGCAGTTGGATATCCTGCATTGTTTTAAATGAGGATCCATATAATCTACATGTTTAACTTTTTGCATTTGGAGATTCCAGACACAGTTGAAAATAGGATAAATTTCTTAGTTCATGAATGTTTCATCATTTGTATTTATGAACTTAAAATGACATCTTAAACAATTGAGCAAAGATGATATCTGAGTTATACAGGCTAAATTTGGTTATTTTGTACTTGGGTTTCTGTCTAATATTGGCTGTCCCACATCTGTTTTTACTCATAATAGGAGCTAATAGTTTCCAAATCCCTCCTGAGAATTCACAAAGAACTTGATTAAATGTCCTTGAATAAGTTGTCATTGCAGACTCAGAGAATCTTATGATAGATATGAAAGACAATTTGATAATAAAAATAAAACAACCTTTGCCCTTAATGAAAGTGGATATGTTAGTATTATATGTAGGACCACTATTCACCAAAGTATTGACGAGTTTGTCAGAGCTGTGTCAGTACTAAGTAGTGTTACTTAAGACATTGACAAGCTCTTTGTTATCTATCTGTCAATACTGATGTAAGTCAAACACTGCAGTCTTTATCTAAGTGGTATTTCTTTCTTCTCACGATATCGATAGCTGTAGTTTTTGAGGATATATATAATGTGGAAATTGTAACCCTTGTGAAAAGAAATTTAGATATTTGTAGTTGGTTACGATAGTAGTAAGGGCATTATGTTTTCTAGTCTGTGCATCCATCCGTCTGTCCGGCTTCAGGTTTAAGTTTTTGGTCAAGGTCGTTTTTGATAAAGTTGAAGTCCAATCAACTTGAAACTTAGTACACATGTTCCCTATGATATGATCTTTCTAAGTTTAAGCCAAATAAGAGTTTTGACCCCAATTCAGGGTCCACTGAACATATAGGTCTTGTCTTAGTTTCCTTAAATGTTCCCTGAATTATAATAATGTTGGAGAAAATATTCTGTCTGAATATTTAGAATGAAAGATTGGAAAAGTCAGGGAAGTTGAATAACTAATGATGCATACAAAATATCTGATAAAGGTTTTATCAAACAATTACATGTATGTTTGCAAATATGACATTTTTAGAGTTGAATACAATTTTATCACTCATATTTAGCTGCAATTTTACCACCCCTGAAACTGTTGTCAAAATGGCAACCACAAAACTCACTCCCCGCAGATGAAAATACCTATAAAGATAAGAACAATACAGTGTGTTGACTGTATTATAATACTTTGTTTATCAGTTTGGTAAATACAGGCCATGTGATTCTTTTGAATAATGAAGCAAAAATGACAAAACTTGTCAATAATAATGATGAGAACAATGCAACTTGGATTCTAGATAGATTACAGGCATGGACATTGGTGCTTATAAGATTACAGACATGATGGTTATGGCTCAAACAATGCTTTTACTGATTGGCTTAAACAAGGCTTTTTCTGATTGGCTGAAACTATGCTTTTTATGATTGTTGGAACCTTAAATTTAACTGCTCAGCTAATAAAAGTGTATTGGAAATTGATAAAAAAAAAAGTCTAAATTGATTAAGTTTACAATGATGAGTTGTAGACTTTAATCAGCTGTTTGATGTCCAGTAAATTATCCTTTCCAGCATTTATTTAAACATAGGGTGAATACTAGCTAATTACTTGATTTTCCATTAATTTCCCAAGAGCAATATATCAATAGAAGTGTAAGGTCTGAGATCACCTTTATTCAATCCAATCTTGATATAGACGAGGTTTTTTTGGGGGAAAGAGATCACCTTTATTCAATCCAATCTTGAGGTTTTTTTTGGAAGAAAGTATTGATCTATGTCCTATCTTGATATAAAAGACTGCAATTGTTTTTGTCATTAATAATTATGTAAGAGTTAAAAGAATGAAAGGACAATTTATATAAAATTCTGTTGAGATCAATACTGAAGATGAATTTTAATTAACTATTTACATCCTCAACAGACTAATTGTACAGATCAGATTATCCTGATTTACCATGCAATGGTCATACTGAAAGTTTGTGTTCTCAGATAGCAGTGATGAAAAAAGAGACATATATTGATGTCAGATATTTTTATTCTCTATATGTTTGATTTATTTGTTATATCGAGTCTTCTCCATTATATATAATGTTGGCTTAGTT